ACGAAAGAAGTATGACAAAAATTGCTTACTGGGTGTGTGGGTGATGATGTGTGGATGGGAATTGTAGCTTCAGATCATCCACATCCGCAGCCACCCCGGCAATTGACTGCCTTTATATCGAGAGTAATACAAACAAATATGCAGCATGAAATATGATTGAGTGAAATTCGTATTTCCATTACTTAAAATGTTGACACATTTTATCAAGGACAAGCTATAGTCTCATAGTGAATATAGCGTTGATCATATGATCACTTGGCTTGAGGGTGTGGATGTCGGTTGATAAGGTATGGTGAATGTTAGTTATCTCTTCAAAAATACCCACACACAAATCCAATCGAACACCCACAGCATAGCGGGTAACAGAATCGCCTTGCGTTAGTTACGTTCTATTCGATCACTGTTTTCTTGTTGATGTTCTGTCGAGATCCTAAAAGTTTGAGCATGAACTATCTTAGTGTCTTGGATACACAAAATATGTTCCTAACACACTTATTGACAGCTTTTCAGCACAAGAATTTGAATGATTAAAGTTTCTCCCGTAGTTGCATGATCTTCACGCTGATCTCGGCTTCACTTGAGTGATTTATCATTTTCTCATTCAATTTTATTTATTTGAGAGAGAAGAAGGCAAAACAAAAAGAATAAACCATTATTCTATTCGCGAGAAAAACGTTGAACACGACCGTTACCTCGATCGACGACATAGAGATTGCCAGAGCGATCGAAGGATAAACCCTCGAGGTATTTGAACTGGTTTGGTCCGTTTCCTTCGCCATTTCCTCCCACAATGACAGTGCCCTGTTTTGCTCCTTGAGGCCAACGCATCACCCGCTGATTCCTAGAATCTGCCACATAGAGAGTACCCAACGTATCGACAAACAATCCTGCAGGAGAATATAAATGTGTCAGAGCATTTCCTGCGCCTTGACCACCAGCGATGACGATTCCTTCTTTTGCACCTTTATTCCATTTCATTACACGGTGGTTATCTCTGTCTGACACGTAGACAGTCTCTTGTCGATCGACAAAAACATAGCTCGGATAGTTGAGTTGATTGAGTCCAACACCACGACCGTTGCCACCAGCTACAACAGTTCCATCCTTGTCACCTATTCTATACCGTCTTACTTCATGTTTATCGAAGTCAGTGATGTACAAATATCTCTGATCATCCATAAATAAACCTTGGCAATAGATGTAATTGATAAGTAGTTCTCCTTGAGTTGTGCCACTATTACGAGACCATCGTACGACTCGCATCTTTCCCATATCACAAATAATGAGACTATCCGTCTCGTTATCGATCAACACATCCGTCGGGAAACCCAATTGATCTAAGCGGTTACCTTGACCATGACCACCAGCTACTATTTGTCCATTTGTATCACCCATCTTCCATTGGAAGACAGAATTCCTGACGGAATCAGCAATGATCATCGTTTGATTATCATTGACGAAGAGACCATAAGGACTTTTGAGTCCTTGAGCAACAGTAACTGCATTCTGCGTCCATCGAGCATTGACTGGAATATCGATGATGATTACAATGAACAAAAGAACAAAAGTTGATAAAAAGGAGCTAGGATAAAGTTACCAATGAGATCTTCTTCTGCGACCTTTTCTTCTTTATAGAAAGAGAGAATTTCCGTCTATTTCTCTTAATATCCACAACATCTTGATAAACAGGATGTTCCTCTGTGTGCTGGTGGCAAGAGAAAGCGAAAAGAATTTTTTTTTGAAGCGAAACGGAACATGTTAATTTTTTCGAGACATCTTCGTCTTGCATAAGATAGGACAATAGGTATCTAAGAGAATCGATGTACTTTTACAAAGAATTTTGATCGAAGTTCTATGTTTTCAAAAAAAACAACAGAAAATCTGAAGATCATAATGTACTAGATAAGGAGAATATGAGTAGGCAATCATCAAGAATGGCTTTGCTCATTCTATGTCTCAGGTAGTTAAATCGATCGAGAACGATAGTAGAACTGTTTTTTTTTCCTTCTCCTGGAATAGCATAAGCAATGCAATCAAGGCAAAGAACCGTTTTATAATAATGCAAATCAATAAAGAAAAGCTGACGATATTTGATGAACACCTTGCTTCGAAGATCTTACGAATAACAATTAAGAAATCTACAGAAAAAAAGATTAATCTTTACACGAATTCGTGATAAAAGCCTCAATGTGGCAGCAGAAATGCTACGAGATCTTTCTATTCTGTACAAAGTCATCTAAAATTCTGGATAAATCGTTGAAGGAAAAGAAGTTCATGTTTTTATGGAATGGTATTGAATTCCACAAATTATAATCTCTGCAGGCTGCTGTAACTTCCTCACAGTTATCATTTTATCGAAATTTTTTTGTGAGTCATGTATCGCAAATAGTAAGAACTCTATTGCTAATTCTGTGCAGACACTCTATAGAAAAAACATAAGCAGTTACTGGGCTTTCTAAAAATAGAAGCTGTACACATTGTTTGCTGATTTTTCAAAGCAGCATCTTACCGACATATGAAAGTATTGGTTTTTAGCTAGCTTTGAGCAGATCTTTAGCGAGAAACACTACCAATCATTATCGAGAAATGGTAGACGAATTTCTATGAACTGTACGCGAAGATTCAAGGCAAGATCATAATGAGCGAAACGAGAATGAGTAACTAGGGTGGGGTGTGAGTGTGGGTGGGTTTCATTTTTCTCTTATTTCACACCCACACCCACCCCATATCTACATCTGCTGTTGAAATTTATTAATATATATGCTGATATTAATAGAAAAACTGAAAACAGACCATGCTATTTTATTATAAATAATGATTAAAAAGCGGACAGACTGACACTATCAGTAATGTTCGATCCTTGCACATGTATTTCCGTTATTTATGTCAATATTAACAGAGAAGGTGATTAAGTTTCTTATATTTTAATCGATTCTATCCAATTAGAATAGTTCATTCATTTGTAATATGATAAAAAAGCTGTAGTTAATTTTCTGTTGTATCACTATGAGACCGTTTTTTTTCTTTTAATAATTTAAAACTATGGCATATTCAATCCTATATTGCTTTTTGCTCATTGCTGATTATATATTTTATGCAACTTCAGATGCTTATACATATCAAAATGAAAACACAATAACTTCAATAGTTTGGAAAAGAAGTTGATCATAAAACCAATCAGCAATAGATTCTCAACGGAATTAGAACAATAAAGAAAAAGATATCGGACAATATCTATCATTACGCATATTTCGCAAAGAATAGCCATGGCAGATCATCAATACATCAGAGTCAAATTTAAACTTTGAGAAAGCTAATACATAAACAAGTTAAATATACAGATAATGCTGTTCTTCTAAGAAATCATAGTGACTTATGACT